ACATGAGGGAAATAAAGTGATGTGACCGGGAGGAGTGTGGAAAGAGTCAGGGACTCAGCTGATGCATGAATGACTAGAAGTCAGCAATGCAAGGAGCTGGGGAAGGACCATTTCAGGTGAAGAGCACGGTACACATATGCACAGGTACTGAGGTAGGGATATGGTTGGCACAGTCCAGAGCCGAAAGAAGGCTGGGGCAGCTGCGGTGTGAGGAGAGAAAAGGAAGAGATGATGTCGGAGCAAGGACAGGGCCTGGGAGAGTCTGAGGGTCCTGGAAGCCGAGGAGGTGCTGTCAGCTGGGAGTTCCTTGGTCCGGCTTCTACTTAGGAAACGGTGTTCTGAGGGTGGATTTGCCTGGGGAGCAGGGGGAGGTGCTGCGGCAGGGGGCTGAAGACTGGGAGGGCGGATAGGGAAACATCAGGAGAGAGTCCCGGATTCTAGATGGTGATGGACAAGGAGCGTAGGGGGCGCTGGAGGCACTCACCTGCCTCCACCTGGTGTGAGGAGGCCGCAGCACCCAGGGCTGGCGTTAGGAGAGGCAGAGGCACAGGTGCGGAGAGTCAGGCCTCCCTACCTGACCCCAGGTGTGCCCCGCGCTGCCCCAGATGCCCCTGCCCCGCACCGTGACCCCAGAGATGCGCGCACTCGTGGTGGACTGGCTGGTCCAGGTGCATGTACGTAGGTACCAAGAAGGGGGTGGGGCTGGGCCCGCGTGGCAGCCTGACTGTAACTGGCGCCCCTCCCCAGGAGTACCTGGGCCTGGCGGGGGACACGCTCTACCTGGCTGTGCACCTGCTCGATTCCTACCTGCGCTCCAGCCGGGTGCGCCTCCACCGCCTACAGCTGCTGGGCATGGCCTGCCTGTTCGTGGCCTGCAAAATGGAAGAGTGCGTGCTTCCCGAGGTACTTCCGGGCGGGGCCAGGAGAGGGCGCTCTTCCTCCCGGCCGCGGGCACAGGCTGAACTGTGTGCCAAGTACCGTCCCCACAAACACTTCCCATTGTCTTGGAATCCCAGTAGATCTGATGAGTTCGGGGCTGCCAGTCTGTCCTTTTAACAGGAGGCTAAGACCCAGAGAGAGGAAGGTATTTGCCCAAAGTCGAGTAGTTGGGACTTGGACTTAGTTACGGTAGTTATGACCCTTAACGAGTAGCTACAGTTAATGCGTGTGAACTCAGTGCAGTACCACAACTGCCTGGTGAAGAAGGAGCGATATCCCCGTTTTACAGATAAGGAAACTGAGTCTCAGAGCGCCCTGAATGTCCAGGCCACACAGCGCGGAAGTGGTAGGGTTTGAACTCGAATTCAGGTTTTTCTGACTCTGAAGCCTATATTCCCCAAGACTTCCACACAACACATCGATGGTCCCATTTTACAGACCAGAAAACTGAGGTCCAGAACGGGGACGGACCCGAAGCCAGGGCAGGGAGTAACAGCAAAGGTCCAAGACTCCCCCACCTCTTTCCCCCCAACCCGCAGCCCGCCTCCCTCTGCCTGCTGGGCGCTGGCTCCTTCTCCCAGGCCGAGCTGCTGCGAGCCGAGCGCCGCATCCTGAGCCGCTTGGACTTCCGCCTGCACCACCCAGGTCCACTCCTCTGCCTGGAGCTGCTGGCCGCTCTGGCCGGGAGCGACCCCCAGGTGCGGGGGGAGGGGAGCAGGGGCGTGGCCTGCGCGGCTGGGGGCGTGGCCTGGCGATCCGGCGGGTGATGATGCTTTGGCAGGTGACGCTCCTTGCCACCTACTTCCTGGAGCTGTCTCTGCTGGAGGTGGAGGCAGCTGGGTGGGAGCCCGGTCGCTGCGCAGCTGCGGCGCTGAGCCTGGCGCACCGTGTGCTCCACGTGGCGGGCTCCGGAGTGGAGCCGGCACTTTATAGGTAAGGCCACCGAGGAGGGTTCTCCCCGCCCCCAGGCAGTGGCTTCAGGATCTGCCTTCCTGATCGTTGTCTTAACTGTCTCAGAGAGTGGGAAGAAATTATTGAGGGGAGGGCACGATGACACCTAGACTAGATTTTTCTGGGTATAAGAGAGAATGGGGTATCTGCCTAGCCTTGGGTTATCCCATTTGCTTTTCTCTGGGCGGGTCTGAGAGAGTGGGGTATTGTCCAGATTTGGAGACCCTTAATCTTGTCTAGGGTGTGATATAGGATCTTCCCAAGCCCGGAAGATGCTCTAGCTGTGTTTCAGGGCGGAGAATGAGAGGTCTGCTAGCCACTAACCGCAAATGAGGTGTCCCATTAGCTGCTAGAGCCCCTATCCCTGTTAACCATGATGTCAAGGGGCTGGGCGAATTTTCTGTTTCCAGCCGTGCTCACTGGGGAGAGCTGGATGCCAGTCCATCTTCAGCCCCAGGCCTCCCCCGTCAATGGCCCTGGCGCTCTCACTGCGCCCTGTGGGAAGAATCAGAGTCTGCCGGCCCCTCCAGTCCCTTTCTAGTCTAGATGATGGGCTACGTGCCCTGGGAGGTTTCCGGGGACCCAAGTCAATGTGTCTTCTCCGCCTCCAACCCAGCTCCAAGGACAGGTAATCTCCACCGCCACCCCCTGCACCCATCTTAGTTTCTCCGTCTTTCCTCCGCAGCCCCGCAGAGTTGGACCCGCTGGAGCCGTGCATGGCCCGCGCGGTGCTCCGAGGCCCCGCACCCGGCCGCGCTGCCATCTTCCTCAAGTATGCGAGGCCACAGCGCAGGTGCACCAGCTTCTTTGCTGCCCGCCTGCTCTGCTGTCCCCAGCCGGGACCCCCCTGAGCCCCGAAACCCGTCAAAAAAGACTCAATGTGTGTCTGTCTCCCACTTCAATAAAAGAATTTCTTTTATGCCGAGCGCTCTCTGTCCTTATTGGTCAAATTCTGGTCCATCTCTTGCTTTTGATTGGTTACTTTCCGGGCCTCGTCACTAATTTCCTTAGTGATGAAAATTACGAACTCTTCCACGAGGGGGCAGTGGTGGGCTTCCGCCCGGACGGCTGAGCAGGATCAAACTGGGATCCCAAGCGCCAACATTTGCTGGAGACAGATAGCTGGAGAGGGAGGCTGCGAGGAAAATTCCAATGCAGCCTGAATGGCCCTCGGTCTCAGAGTTGGGAAGTAGCTAGGAGGGATGGGCTGTGGGAAACAGAATATCTGCCCCAGTCATGGATTCTACCTAGATGTTTCCAGGTTTTCAGATTTTGTTCAAGTGAAGCTGAAAACCTGCAATTCCTTAAATATCTCTGCTTTCCTCTGTTGGCAACTCATTCAATATTTTTTAATGATTGCACAAGCCCAACACATCGCCTGTGAGGGTCACCTGTGGCTTTATTGGTCTTTGATAGCAAGAGTTTTATAAGTGGGATCTGATTTACTTAACATCATTGCAGTGTATTTAGATTGTAAGTTAATATATTCACACAGTGTTAGGACATTGGTTGGCACCTCATAGGCACTGTGGAAGTGCGGCATTGCATCGGAGCAGGACTGTGAGTTGGTGGCAGTGGCCCTGCTTCTACCAAACCCCTGGTACCCAGCCATGTAGTAATCAGAAAATATTTGTTATGAATCAATGGATCGCCTTGTTTTTAATTAAAAACAAAACACACCTGAGGTACAGACAGATGACTTCACTGCACTGGAATTCAACTGCAGGAATATTAGATTCTTAGCCCAGCCAGGGTTTGAAGGTTCAGGGAAGAGAAGTTTCTGTCCTAAGATGGTCAAGGTTGGACAGGATGGGGGAGAGCCTCACTCAGCAAAGTACAGTAAGAGATAAAAGCAGATGCAGCTGTTGGAATGGATGGTGCCTTTTTCAGGTTTGGGAATCCTGGGGGAGATGTGGGGTGGGAGGGGGAAGGGACAATGGAAACACAAGCTTGGCTCTTGGGGCTGAGGACCAAGTGAGGGTCTTGTGGGGGTGGGGGTATAATAATAAAGTTATTCATTCATTCAACAACCAATAAAAATGCTGACTCAAAGTCGGACACTTATGCTCCCCTATCTCATAGTCTCACGATAAGAAACACAGGTTGTTAGTTGCCCAGTATGTACCAGGCCTTGTGCTAAGTGCTTTGTTTGCAAAATTCAGTCCCTGCAACTACTCTGAAGCAAGCTCATTTGAAATCCTCACGTTGCAGAGGAAGGCGAGGTGGAGGCGGAGTGAGGAGCTTGCCCAAGGTCCCACTGCTGAGTGAGTGGCTAAGGAGAGCGGAAGGACAGCCATCTCCTTCAGCCTCAGCTTTTCTTCCCGAAGGTTCTCACACGCTTTATTTTCTGTTCATTCTTTTGCTTGCACCACTCACTCGGGCCTGCCACCTGCATTCCCACTGGTTTTTCTACTCAGTGAGCTCCATGAGGGCGAGAAGCAGATCTCTCTTGTTCATAGGAGCCCCTCCTCTAGAAGACCCATTGATTCATGACAAATCTTGTCTTCACTCACACTACAGTCAGGGCAGACACCTCCTCAGGGCCCTCAGAGACTGTTGTGTCCTCTCTCCGGGGTGTGGACGCGCTGCCTGCACCTCCCCCATCCTGCCCTGACCCCTTTGCCCGAGCTTCCCTGGCTAGCCCACTCTGGGCTGTCACTGGCTACTGGTTTGTCTCCTCACGGGACTAGGGGCTCCATGAGGATAGTTCCCTCCTTCCCTGCTACATCCCAGCATTGCCCAGCCCAAAGCTTGGCACAGAAAATATATCAATGAGTATTTGCTTGTATCATCGATAAATGAGTTTCAAAGTGGCTATCATTGTCCCTTCCATGCTACCGAAGAGGATATAGAATCCCAGGTAATTTAGGTAATTTGTTCAAGTCAAATGTAACTAGTGAGGAAAAACCCAGGAATTGAATCTGGGCAGATTGATTCCAAAGCCTGTATCCTTATCCAACATGGCAAATGCCTAGTGGGCTGAAAACCAGCTTTCCCGAGATAGAAATCTTCCTTTTCTTTCCCCCAGATGTACCCTTTCCTTCTAGAAAGCTTTGGGAGCTTTGGGCAGGAGAGGAAGGGGAGCTGGCAGTGAGGTGAGTGGAGAGGAGGAAAAGGTGGGCTGGAGAACGAGGGCTGGGGCTGATTTGAAGAAAAGAGTGGGGAAGTCTTGAGGGGTTTCTCTAGACCCATAGGGGGCAGCCGGAGTCGGCCACCGGAGGTGAGGGGCGGAGAAAGGGTGGGGACAGGCCCGCGCCCGAAGCTGCAGCAGCGGTCTGCAGGAGTTTCCCACAATGCAGCGCGGCGCGCTGTCCCCGGTGCTGATGCTCAGCGCAGCCCCGGAGCCTCCACCGCGTCCACCTCCCGCTCTCTCCCCGCCGGGCCCGGGTCCCCGTCATGGCTCCGCTCGGCCAGGTCCTGCCCCGGAATCGTCAGGGGGCCTGGGCGCGGCGCTCGACAGCAGCCTTCGGGCCGCCGTGGCGTTTAAGGCGGAGGGTCAGCGCTGTTACCGAGAGAAGAAGTTCCGGGAAGCCATTGGCAAGTACCATCGCGCGCTGCTGCAGCTGAAGGCGGCGCAGGGGTCCCGCGCCGGGGGCCTGCCCACCCCCGCCCCCGGGCCCCACACCAACCCGGGGCCCACCCGCCTCAGCGAGGAGCAGCGGCGCCTGGTGGAGAACACGGAGGTGGAGTGCTATGACTCTCTCACGGGTATGCGGCCGCCGTCGGCGGCGCAGAGGGTGGGAGCGAGGGGCAGTCTTGAAGCCTTGGGCGGGGCGGGGGGAGCGGAGACTTGAAGGGACCGGCGCTGGGGTCTGTGCGGGGGAGTGGGAGACAGCAGAAATTACCGAAGAGAGGGCTTGGGGAAGTAGGGGACCACGGGGATGGAAGGAGCTGGGATGCAGGAAATGGGCTTTGGGCTGCCACCGTGAACCTCAGGTGAGAAAGCCTTGCCCTGGACGCACAATTTAAAGCCTCATCCCTCACCTGAGGTAGCCTCAGTTACACCCGCCCCCCCCCCCCCCCCCCCCCCACGAAAATAGCCTGAGCTCTAGCCTGGTTTTCACACCCTCTAGCGGCAGTGCAGGTTGGTTCCATTCTGATTGGCCAGAGGCTCGGCAGCCCCCGCTGGCCTGAAAAAGGCTCCGCAGCCCCCGCTCAGCCGTGCGGAAGGGCGGGGGTTCCCTCGCAGCCTGACATCATGCTCCTCGGGGGTGTGAAATCTGGGGTTGCCGGCAGGCTCTGAGAGCTCCGGTCCTGGGGCCCGCAGCCTGCCTGTTGCAGTCGGAGCTGGTGAATTACGAGCGGGTGCGCGAGTACTGTCTCAAGGTGCTGGAGAAGCAGCAGGGCAACTTCAAGGCCACCTACCGCGCTGGCATTGCCTTCTACCATCTGGGTGACTATGCGCGTGCGTTGCGCTACCTGCAGGAGGCCCGGAACCGGGAGCCCACAGGTGAGCGGGTGGCGGCTGGGCGGAGTGAGGAGAGGGGCTGGGACAGAACAAACAAGGCAGGAAGGCCAGGGCACAGCTACTTCAAGAGAGTGCTGCACACCCCACCTCCCCCTCTCCACCTCCTCCTGCTCACCCTCTCACCCACCACCTCTCATCTATTTATCGACTCACTTTGATGCTTCCCATTTAGCCCATTCCCCATGCACTCACTCCATGCCCCCCAACACACATTCATCCATCCACTCCCTCACTGACCCACTGCCACACCCACCTACCATCCACCAGTTCTCCCAGCCACCACTTGTTAAGCACTTGCTGGGAGTTAGACGCCCAGAGCGAGAGGGGGGTGGCAGGACATTGGCTGGGGGTGGGACAGAAATGGCAGAGCTGGAGACTTGCTCCTTGCCCTCTGGGTGTGTTGGGATGTAGAGAGAATATGAGATTTTGTATTAAGAACCAGTGGGCCGAAACCGGTTTGGCTCAGTGGTGGAGCGTCAGTCTGCGGACTGAAAGGTCCCAGGTTCGATTCCGGTCAAGGGCATGTACGTTGGTTGGGGGCACATCCTCGGTGGGGGGTGTGCAAGAGGCAGCTGGTCGATGTTTCTCTCTCATCGATGTTTCTAGCTCTCTCTCTCCCTTCCTCTCTGTAAAATATCAATAAAATATATTTAAAAAAAATAAAAAAGAAAAGAACCAGTGAGAGGAGCCCCACCTGCATGATCTGGGCTGTGGAGTGGAGGCAGGTAAAGGGTTTGGAGGACAGGCTTTGTGCAGGTGCCACTGGAGGGTAAGCAGAGAATAACAGGAACCTCTGAGCCAGCATTTTTGGCAGGGGAATAGCAAAGCTATTCTGGAGGTGGACATACCCCTAAAGAAGGGGTCTGTCTGGCAATACCAGCTGGGGAGCCACTGAAGGCTGGGGACAGTGAGGTATGACCTGAGGTGCTACAGACGTCACCAGGACACCCAGTAATGCCCTGTCCATTGTCCCTGCAGACACCAACGTCCTACGCTACATCCAGCTGACCCAGCTGAAGATGAGCCGGTGCAGCCTGCAGAGGGAAGACAGCGGGGCCCAGCCTCGGGATGTCATTGGCTGAGGCCACCCATGGGGACTGCCCCTCCCTTCCCGCCCCCCCCCCCACCTCCCTGTGTAACTTCCCTGACTCATGTGTTGGCCAGTAAAGCACTCACCATAACCTCTGTGTGCGTGTTCTCGTGGGAACTAGGGAGGAGACATAGGCTTGGGCCTCACCCTCTGGACCTCAGAATCCAGAGGGGCCTAGGAGGAAGCAAGGGTGGGGGGGGGGGCACCCATTGGGGATGAGCCGGGATTAGGGAAAGATACACAGCAAGCATGGCAGGGGGCAGGGGTCACCTTTAATGCTGCGTTTTGTGCCGAATCCCCTCATGGCCCTGTCCCTGAGTATCCCTGCCCCCTCCCCCATGCTGCAGGGCGAGCACAGGGCACAAAAGAATAAATTAAGTGTCCCCCATCCCTTCCCCAATAAATAGAGTAACCCTCCCAGGGCCTCCCTGCCTGTGCGGGGGCAGGGCCTGGGGACTACATTCACGCTGCCCAGGCAGGCGGCGGGGCAGGTCAGCGGGAGCCGTGGGCCCCGCACAGGGGCACTGTGCCGTCCTGGCTCTGCCCCTCCATGTCCATGTCGAGCAGAGTGGGCTGCATGCTGGGGCGCCTGGGGCTCTCCTGAGTGTCCAGCCTGCTGGGAGGCGAGATGCTGCGTGTCCGGCCGAAGGAGACCAGCTTCCAGGGGTCCAGGCAGGGGCGGCTGGCAGCAGGCCGGGGTCTTGGGGTGAAGGTCAGGGTGGTGGGGCGGCCAGGAAACTCGGGGGGCTGCAGGTGTGTGTGAAACAGAGCCTGGGGTTTAGGCAGGCGGGGGAAGTCCAGGGGATCTCGAGGGCCTGGTAAGAGAGGATCAGAGGGGATGAGTGAGGGGGAGCCGAGAGGTGGCACTGAAGAGCCAGGAGCATTGACATGAAAACTGGAATTTCTGACCTTTCTCAAAAAACCTGCTGGAGAAAAGCCCTCATTCCTCCCAACTCTCTCACGCTGGGCTAAGGCCAGACAGAGCGCCGGGCTAAGGAGAGGCCTGCGGCCTGACAGCATCTCTAAGTGGGGCAACAGCACCTCCCAGTAGGTGGGGAGTAAGGCAGAGAATAACAATGGCCAAACAGCTCAGCCTCTGGGCGGTCCCTAACACCTTTTGTTTCCAGCATCTCTGTCGGTCAACAAAGGCACAGAGAACAGGGCCTGGGCGTGGCTGTGGCTGTAAATTTTGTGTTAGCTCTGGTTTTTGCTGTCACTAATGCCACCGGCTTGCCCCCTGTGGGCATTAGAGTTTGCCACCCCTGCTTCATCCTGTGTCACAGTCACAGGGCCCCACAATGCCTCTAGCAGTGAGGGCCGGGGACACAGCCCCTCCCTCCCCCTGCTAAGCAGGAGACAGCCACCTTGGCACCTTAGGGGTGGATCTGGCCTGGGACACTGGACCCTGGAAGGGCAGGGCAGGGCTTTCTGCACACCGGGCACGGGGTGCCTCACTCACCAGGGCCGGGGCCTGTGGGCTCTGGCGCCCCCCGCTGCCCTAGCGCCCCGTCCGACGGGGTCCTCCGGTGCCCGCGGTTCACAGCGCGCGAGGCAGTGACTGTGACGTGGGTGGGCGTCAGTGACTGGCGGGGGTCCTTTTTGAAACTCTCCAGCTCCAGGTCCACCAGGGGGTTGGTGTTGGGCGAGGGCGCGAGAGGGGAGGGTGTCGGGGATGGTGCTGCTGGCGCGGCCTCGTCGCTGTCGGAGTGCAGCAGTGAGCGCGTGGAGTTGCAGTCGGACACGGAGGACAGTGACACCAGGGTGGTCGAGGGCGCCAGGCCCTGGCCAGAGGCTGTATTGGGGCGTCCAGGGGAGCGTGCCGTTGGGCTGAGGCCGCGGGGGAAGCGGCCGGCGCGGTGGAAGAGGCCGTCCAGCCACCGCCGCTGCTCCTCGCCGTCCGCTGCTGCACGCGCCTCCGCCACGTCAGCGCCCAGGCCCACGGCGCCCAGCAGCGAGGCACAGCCCAGCAGCGCCAACTCGCAGCGCCTGCGCCGGGAGCCGAGCGCGGACCGGGTGGGTGTGTGGGGCAGCGGCGCCCCAGGGGAGGGCTGGGGGGTCAGCGGCGCCTCGAGGTAGGCCAGGGTGCTGTGGGGGGAGTGGGGCCCGCTGCTGCTTCCGTCTGCCTCCGCGAACTCCTCTGCAACCGGAGAGGGCCGGCACTGGACTCCACGCGGTCTCTGGGGACTTGGAGGCAAGGGACTGCCCCCAACGATCCCTCAAACAGCAAGCCCACCAACTCCGCTAAGCATTGCTTTCGGTTCTACTTCCCGGAAGCCCCCTGACCCTGGCAGTGATGCCCACACTCCAGGCGCAGGCCGCCCCCTTCTGGGAACGCTTTCTGCACTCGGGCCCAGTGAAATCCCTCCCTCCCCAATCCAGGGGAAGGGACCCCTTTGTCTTGGCAGTGTCCCCTTCGGCCAGGGACTGTCCCCCCCCCCAAGGCTCCCTCATCCTCTTACCCATCTCATTGAGGCTGGCGAAGCCTGGGGCAATGGGGGTGTGTTTGGGGGACTTGCCCAGGTTGGGGGCGCTGGATGACCACAGTTTGCTTCCTTCCCCTAGGGCCTTCAGCCTGCAGGGGAACAGAGCTGGTGTGGGTGGAGGCACTTCTGGTGGCCATGGGCCTGGGGGTGGGGCCCGGGGTGGCTCCAGCCACGGATACCTTTCTTCCTCCGCCTGCTCCTTCTGTAGGGTGGAGCTGGGTCCCCACGTCCGGCCTTTCTTCTTGCCCCCAACCAGTTCTTCCTTCTTTGGGGGCCCGCTGCGGCCCCAGGTACCACTGCCACTGCTACTGCTGCCACTGCTGCCGCCACCGCCGTCCACAGGAGTCACTGGGCCGAGAAAAGCCACTTGGTTACTGGGTCTTGGAATGTCTGTCCCCACTGGGTTCCCAGCTTTACTTTCCTCACCTGGGATTCACCTCCACCTGGAAGCTCAGAGGATCTTGGATTCTAACTCCAACCATGACCCTTCTCTGCTCAAAATCCTCTCACAGTGCCCCACTGCCGAGGGTGACAGCCCAGCTCCACAGTCAGCATTCAAGGCCCTTCGTGTTATTGCCAGCTTACTTCCTCAGCCCCGTTCCCATCACTCCTCTCAGCCTAACCCTTCAGTCATCCACTCAGTCTCAAATGTTTCCTGGGCACCTGTTCTGCCAAGACCTGTGGCAGGTGCTGTAAAGAAGGAGTGGACAGCGCAGACAACCCTGGCCCTCGGATGGTCAGCGAGACTCCCCTCAGGTAAGTCACCTGTGAGGTGGCAGGTGCTGCGGGAAGTGATGTGGGAAAGGGCCTGGTGGCTCGGAAGGCTTCACGTGGGAGGAGACGTCTGAGCAAAGACCAGGTGAGTGAGTCAAGAAGACACAGGGAGAGGAGCATTTCAGGCAGAGGGAACAGCAAATGCCAAGACCCTGAGTCCGGACAGCACGGAACGTCACAGGACAGCCAGAGCCCAGAGTGGCTGGTGTGGAGGGAGGAAAGGAGGGGCGCTGGAGTGGAGACATGCAGGCAGCGGGTGTAAGTGCCATGGTTGGAACCTCATGTCCACAGATTCCCGGGGGGTGGTGTGCTTTCACACCTCCATGCCTTTGCACAGGCTGTCCCTTCACCGGGAATTCTGTGTCTTTTCAGTCCCTTCCCTGACGGTGTTGGCTGCTTGCCCTTCAAGCCTCCAGCTCTATAGTAATTTGTTCCCTAGAGAGTTAGAAGGCTGAGTCTTCTCTGTTCCTACCACACACTTTGGATGCAACCTGATACCAGTACTGACTCCCCTGCATGGCTGTTGTTTGTCTTGTGTCCCCCATGAGAATGACTCCAGGCCTGGTACAAAGCTGGTGCTTACACAGACGTATGCAGGAGACTGTGGGGCAAGGCTGGGGGTGAATGATGGGCAGAATAGAGTCGGGAGTCAGCCCTATATCCTCCAATTCATTAGCAAACCCATGCGCTAGCTACACCTCTGCCAGGCAGCCCCTACTGTGACCTCTCTCCCTCCAAGGCCCTGGTTCAGCCCCATCGTCTCACTTGTCTCCTGCCCTCTTCCCATCCACATCCCCATGGCAGCCAGAGGGAAAGGTGTGCTTTACCACATTGCTGCCTTGCTCGCAGCCTCCAAGCTCCCTGTCACCTTTAAAATGAAATCTAGTTCTTTATCCAGCTCTCCAGGCCCAGCGTCATCGGGCTGCTGTTGAGCCCCTGGCACAGCCGCTGCTCTGCACCCGTCATCCCACTCCAGCCAGTGACCTTTGGGCCTTCACACACGCCACGCTGTTCCCGCCACCGGGACTTTGTCGCTGCTGCTCCTCTGCCAGGGCCACTGTCCCTCCAGATCTCTGTGTCTCTCTCGCTCCTTACCGCTCAGGTCCCTGCTCAAACCCCGGCACCTCAGACAGACCCTCCTGATACAAAATGCAACTCTTCTCTTTTATTCCCTTCCCTGATTTCCTTTATAGTGCTTATCCCTGAAAGAGTGACCCTGTCTGCTTGCTCATGTGTTGTCTGTTTCTCACCCATGAGAATGAGGGAGGGGACCCTGTCTCGTTCCCTGCTGGGGCAAGGAAGGCGCTCAGAGAAGTCTGCTGACTGATGGGCTGGTCAGGGCCTCGGGAGATACTCACAGCGAATGGCCCTCAGCCGGGGGATGATGCTGGGGCTTGCGGGGGGGCTGGTCCCATCAGAACCTTTCCGCTTGTCCAAGGTTGGAGAGGCCTGGACTGTGATCTTGTGTTCAAAGCCTGCAAAACAGGAACTTCCCTCAGCAGACGGTTCCATGGGTCCCCGAGCAGTTCCCTGTACGGAAGGGCAGTTCCCTCTGGATTCTAATCTAGAGGCTCAGAGGCAGTGACACCGGTTTGTGTTCAGTAGCAGTGGTTCCCCAAGTTGGCTCCCAGACTCGCAGCATCAGCACTGAGTGGAAGCAGACTGAAATGCAGGTTCCTGCCCCACCCCCGTATTAGCAGCCTTCAGGGAAGGCGCATCCATCTAACTGGAGGAACAAGCGCCTGGGACCCCTGATCCACATCCAGGTTTGAGAGCTGCTGCCCGCACTGAGATCCAAGGCCTGAGCGTCCACTTTGGTGGCCATCAGCCACAT